GAGGGGAAAGGTGGAGATGGGGAAGTGGAATCCCTTCCGAGTTCTAGGAGAGTACAAGAGAGAAAAACAAAACTACTTGCCCCATGTTCAACTGCATTTAGAAAAATCGACCTGGCTGGGTCACCCCGACAAAGGACCACAGAGACTGGGTGGTGTGGGGAGTAGGGAGAGGGAATGTTGCCTTAACATCAAGTTTTTTCTATTATCCATTACTCTGAAGGTGGAAAGGGAAAGTGGGGGAGACTACTGCCACATCTTCTTCCTTCCTTTTCAGGCAGTCTCAGTTAAAGACAGATAAAGCTTTCAAACTCCTAGGCCAAGGGTGGAGAACTTTGGAGAAACCAAATTTCACAGAACAAATCCCCTTGATAAAAGGATTTGTTCTGTAAAACTTGGACTCAGTCAAAAGGCCACACCCAAGAACCTAGAAGGCCACATGTGGCCTCGAGGCTGCAGGTTCCCCACCCCTGTCCTAGGCTAACTCATATTTTCTCAAATCACCATAGACTCGACTCTTCTCCTACTCTTTAACAATCTACTCTCCACCACTATTGCCCAAGTGTGTCAACTGTCTGGCTTTCTGAGGTCCCCCCCCACCTTCACTCCCTTGCCTTGCTCTGCCTTTGCTTAGCTTCCCACACATCCAATTGGACTGGTGAGGAAGAGAGAAAAAGGAAGAAAGCAGGGAGAGGGAAACAAGGAAAGAATGAGGTGGAAAGAGCTGGGAGAAAACTTAGAGAAGGAAGGCAAGAGGGATGGTGCCAAAAAAAGGAATGGAAAAAGAAGGCATGAAATCTGTATACTAACATGCACGTATACAAATAAACAATAAATAATAAAGTGTTCAGAGATGTTAAAAGAAATTCCTGTAATTATGAGTTTTTCTTATTAGAATCTTAACATGTTGGAACTAGAAGAGAATTTAGAGATTATCTAGTCCAGCAATGATTTCTGCCAAAACACAAAGTCAGTGTCAGAGCTGGAACTAGGAATCAAGTATCCTGACTCCTAGTCCACTGTTTTTGTTCTTACACCACTCTGCCTAATATTATTTTAATATTATCTTATTATTATTAAATAATGTTGTCAAGACTATGCTAAAAGCATGGCGAGCATAAGCAAGTAAATCCCCAACCTGACAATGTGCCTAACCTTCTCTGTGCCACAGTTTCCACATCTAGAAAATGGGGATAATAATACTTGTACACCACTACCCCAGAACCCAATGCCTCATTGTGTCATGGGGGTGACTCTGGATTCCTGAAGCATATGTCAATGGGGTACAGGCTCTGGAAGGTCCCATCAAGATGGAAAGACAAAGTAAAAGTCAGGTGACAGATTTTACTCAGCTCTTTTTCCTAACTTCTTTATTTCTGTTGAGGGTACCACCATCATTCCACTTATTCAGGTTCACAACCTTTGCAGCATCCATCAACCTCTCTCTTTCACCCTTCTCTCACCAATCCTATCATTTGCCAGGTCTTGTCTATTATCATTCCCTATCTTTCCCTTCTATGCCCTCTGTGCCTACGCGCACAGTCACCACTCTTGTTCAGGCCCTCATTTCTCCTCTTCTGGATGTTCAAAATAGCTTCCTAATTGGTCTCCCTGCTTCCAAACTTTCCCCTCTCTAGTCCATCCTTCTTACCGCTGCCACATTGATATTCATAAAATACACTTTTGACAATGTCACTCCTCTGCTCATGAAGCTTCAGTGTTTCTAAGATAAAATACGAACTCCTCTGTCTGATATTTAAAACCCTTGAAGATTTGGTTCCAATCTATCTTTGCACACTTACTTCAAGTTCCTCCTCTTCGTGCACACTCCAATCCAACAAACTGACCTGCTTGCCATTCCCAGGTAGCAGCATGCCATCTTCCCTCTTTGTGCCTTTGCATAGCCTATGCCTCATGCCTAGAGTAGTACACTTCTCACCTCTGCCTTTTTAAGGCTCAATTCAAATGCCACTTTCTGCTCCAAACCTTTTCAGATAACAGTAATTTTTGCTTATTTCTCTGAAATTACTTTGTGTTGTTGTTGTTCAGTCATTTCCAGTTGTCTCTGACTCTTTACGTTCCATTTGGGGTTTTCTTGGCAAAGATACTGGAGTGGTTTGCTATTTCCTTCTCCAGCCCATTTTACAGAAGAAGAAACTGAGACAAACAGGTTAAGTGACTTGTCCAGGATCACACAGTTAGTAAGTGTCTGAGGCCATATTTCAACTCAGGAAGATGCTTTCCTGACTCCAGGCTCAGCATTCTCTGCCACCTAGCTATGTTGTATTTACTTTTTATATATTTTGTGTAGACTTAGCTGCCTAAGGTGTCTTTTGCCCTAGTAGAACATAAGATCATTGAGGACAGGGGCTGTTTTGTCTTGTCTTTGTATTCTCAACTGCTAGCACAATGCCTGACACATATTAGGTGATTAATGAAAGCCTGTTGAATCACTTGAATGAACTGTGAGTAATATTTACAGGCACAGCTACTCATGAAGCCCTCTGCTCAGCCACAGAGAGGTGCACCCATCTGGATGAAACCACAAATCCTCGAAGTAATAATTGCTCTAGCTCCCTTCTGGGGTTGTTGTGAGGAAAGATCTTTGCTCGAATGTATAGCATTTAAACGTGAACAGTTGTTGTGACTATACTGTAGGCTGTATGGGGCTGAGGTTGGGAGGTGGAGGGGGGAACTTGTAGGTGTTAGAGTTTATTCTTAGACATTAACTAAGCTGAGAACACTATCAAATATTCCTATCCCTCTCTCACCCATCCAGGGAAAAGAAGTGCCAGTGATTGGATAGGATCTGAGAGTCAGAGAGGAAGGTGAAGAGGGTGGATTCAGGAAACTTTGACATGAAAGGTGGAAAAACTCAGTTCCCTTTCCTCACTCCTTCCATTAGGTGCCCTTTGGGGATTTCACTGAGCACAGAAGCTGTTCTCAGGGAGTGCTGGGGCTTTCTAGGTTGCCTTTGTTTATAGTTCCTTTAAAACCACCCCTTAATTCACGAATTGCTGGGAAGGTGATTCTGTCTTTTAAAAACCCAAAGGAAGCCTTTAAACCGAATCAGAAACCATTGTGACTCATAATAAGCCTTCCTCTGTTAAAAAAAAAAAAAAAGGTCAGAATGACTTTCCAGGAAGTTTGGTTACTTTAATTAGCCACCTCTTTTCTCAGTCCTCAAAAACATGTGGTTAATTGGATGATCACCTCATTTTAGTCCAGGTCTGCCCTGGAGAGAAAAATCTGGGTTCTGGAGGACCCTATCAAGTTTACTGTCATTAACTTCTTGGTTTCCTGGACAATACAAATGATTCACCCTCCTAACAGGAAAGGAGAATCTCAGAATCACAGAATTTTGAGAGTCGGAAGGGACCTATAAGGCCATCTAGTTTAACTCCTTAGGGTACTATAATAAAATACCAACCCCTTTAAGGAGGACAGGGGTGAATAAAGAAGAGAAGGGCTCTATAGCTAATAGTGGAGGAGCCCTGCCTAGCTTCTGAAATTCCACACCTAAGTCCCTAATGGCCACACATCCAAGGTTACACATAACATCTACCGATGCAATTGCATCAGAGAATAGGACCTTTCCCCTTTATTCTTTAGCTAAACTCCCACAGATTCTAAAACCCTGTTTGGGTTCTCTCCTCAAGCAGGAGCCAGAGTAGATACTTTCTCTGAAGAAAGAATGGTTCTGAAAAGGGGACGAGGGCAACCAACAGATCCAAGACTCTGCAAATGCAGAAAAAACACTGCCCTACTACAACACGGGTTCCCACCTTGCCCAAGTACAGAAAGCTAAGTCAGAAAGACTGCAAGTGTCTATTCCTCAATCCTCCTCACCTTCCCTTACCCCACTAAAAAAAAAATTAAAACATGAGGTCATTTCAACATTTGGATGGGGAGCAGGAAGGTTCATTTTTCTTTGAGCTGCATCTGACTCCTGATCCTGAGAGATGAGTTTTCAGAATGAGACTTTATGCTCAGAAAAAAAAGGGAGGGGTTTAACCCCTGGAGAAAATAAGAAAAGATCTTAGGCCTAGGGATACCCAGGGGATTTAATAAACCTTTTTGGCTTCTTATTTCTCTGGGCCCTAATGATCCAGATGAAAGACTAATTGTAGTGTCTTTGAGATGCTCTAATGGTCCCATTACTTTACACCTACCATTTCAATCCATTTTAATAAACATTTATTAAGCACTTACCACCTGCAAAGCACTATGCTAGGCTCTGGGAAGCAAAGACAAAAAAGAAAAGAAAAGCCAGTCTTCACCTACTCTTAAGGAGTTTATATTCTACTTTCTTTAAACTTAAAAAAAATTCTATAGGAGTTTTGCAAATAAAATTTCTACCAGGAGAAAAAAACTATCAAGCTAGGAAAATTTATTCTCATTTCTTAGGAACCTTTTGGCTGTCTTGATTTGGTTTAACACTATCACTGCTGAGCTGACTCTCTTATGACCTATGGTCACCCTGAACACATTGGCTCACTAGAGAAACAAACGCTCAGATGACAGTCCCTCTTTTGAGCTCCCCTTGAGTTGGACCATCAAACCATCCCTCTTCTGTTAAATTTGGATTTTCCTTCTTTGCCTAATTGCAGGCAACCTGGTGGTGGTGATGTCAAAAGCATCAACTGAGTGCGGACCTCCTCTTTCACCTGTTTTTCCCAGGTTCTGGCCTTTTCCTAAGACTAACAAGCATTCCCTAACTCCCACGTGACTGCCTTCTTATTCAGACTGGTAAAGAATCACTGAGAGACTTTAGTGTTCTAGCTCAGATTTCTCTCTCTTTTCCCTAGTAGGCTCCATTTACCAGGATGTAGCAGGTCTGTCTGACTGGGGGGAAAGAGAAAGCAAGAAAAGAGGATACAATCCATACATTGTATGTTTTCTGCAACTTCCAGCTACTCTGTTCTTCCCCAGGCCTCATTGTCCCTTGTCCTCCACCCAGGCTGCTTAGGAATAATGGTACAGGAGATGGAGGATCCCCTTACCTGTCTCCACCTGGCTAAGGGCATTGCGAGTGTCCGTGGAATCTGCCACATCCCCATTCATCTTGATATCTGCAAAGAAAACACAGCTGATTTTAATGACAGGTCACAACTTGTCACACAATGACATGTGTGGCTTTAACTAAACAGCAAAAATGAATGTGTAATTACAACAACCATCAGACTTTCAAATGCCCTATTTCTGCATATACAACCATTAGAATATTCATAAGCTTGGGGTACAGCTCCCCTCCACAGTGGGTGAGCTGTGTTCTCTCTTCCTCTCTCTCTCTTTTTTCTTTTCCCCTTTCTGCAGAGCTGCTTTTGGGTTTCTCACCTTTTGTAACATTCATTTTCTATAACTCTCCATCACCAGGGCTCAGTTGTAAATATTTTAAAAGGAGAGAGGGATACAGAAGGGGAAAGATGCCTTTTTTCTACACAATCTGATTCATCCTATCCTCTTCTGGGATTAGGGGCTAGGGATTGATTTTGTTTTGAAAAAGGGGTAGAAAACACTTCTAGGCTTTAGAACCCCAGCCACACAACCCCAGGCTGGAAAGTGAGTGTCTTATAGCCTCTGCCCCATCATCTCACCTCTCTGCTCATGCCAATTCCTCCCTTGTCAGAGGAGGCTAACATGCTAGGGACGAAGCTCCCAGTTCCCACCTTGGCCCTCTCCCAGGACACTTCTGTCCCTTAGGAGCATTCTGCCCTCTCATTGTCCTACTCCTTCATTGTGTGTGTGTGTGTGTGTGGGGTGTGGGGCCCCCAACCCCATCTGAATGCCCATAGAACAGCCATTAAATGCTTTGCCAGGTCTCTTCCATTCTCTCTCTCTCTCTTTCTCTCTCTCTTCAATAAATTAAACATTTACCCATAACTGACAGCTACCACCACCTATGAGACCCGAAGTCTCCTGCAAGGATCAGCAGAGTGATGGGGAGAAGCAACTTTGAACTAACTCACTGTGTCTCCTGGCTCCTCTCCTTATTAAACCACCCAAATATTGAATCAGTTAAAGAAAGAAGAATATTTTATTCAAATTATGCTGACCCCCCCCTTGTCCCCACCCTTTTCTCAGGGGCAGCATTTTAACTCTTTCCAACCAGGTAAACTGTGGGTGAGCTGATTTGCATATACCAGGCAGCCAGTCCTAGTTGAGCAGACAGGCCTTATTTGCATCTTGTAATCAGGCAGTTAGTAGTCTGGATGTCTGTGATCTGGAGAGTGCTGGGACAGAGGGAGCAGTATGGGACAAAGGCATCAGAAAGAACATGGAGAAAATGTAGCCCAGCTTGCTTCATGGGGGAAGGCAGTGCTTAGCCAAGTCAGCCACTGGAATGCACCACCTCTGGTGTGCATGAGGTGGGGTGAGTGTAAATATTGACCAGCTACCAGGGTTAAGATGGATCCCTGGAGAACCAAACCTTTCTAGAAATTCCGAGGCAGGAAATGAAGTGGCAAAATAGGGTAAGGGACCCTTAGATTTCATAGTAGTGGCTTAAGAGCTTTTAGAGCAAATGAATCATAGAAGCCCAGGCATGGATTTTTACAATGCTGTCACCCTAATTCTGAGCAAGACCACAACAAAATTCTCTCCTGACACAGAGGAGAACAAAACAGAGAAGATTACAATTTAAGAAGCAACATGGAATAGCGGACAGAGCTCTTAGAGTTGTGAGACCTAGCTCTAAAAATAAGCAGACCCAGACAAGTCAAAGTCACTTGACCTCTCTGTGCCTCAGTTTCCTCAACTGTAAAATAGCTACTAGTAATGCTCATACTCTTTGCCTCACAGGGTTGTTTTGAGGAAAGTACTTTGTAATGTTATTATGAATTCTCTCACTCCCTTTAAAAGGCGTTAAAGTTTTATATTCAGAAACTTCTTCCTATCCTAAGTGAACATGAAGAATGAGTGATCTTATTTCTCTGTACCCTTTGGAAAGATAACTCTTCCTACTTCTCCTTTCCTTCTGCATGGGGCCAAGACCTCCTCAGACAATTAGCTGTATTTTTTTCAGCCCTTGACCTGAATTTGAAGTTTTGATATATTCCCCAACCCCCACCCCTTTAGCTGATGCTTCCCTATGTAAAACCCCAAGCAACAAAGATGAAGGAATGGGGGAGGGTGGTCTTTTTCCGTGGGGAAATTTTAACCTGTGGTCTCTTCAGCCCTGATGATTACCCTCTCTCCTTTCTTAAGTTTACCCAGTTGCCTTAGGTTCTTGTTGGCTGCCATCGTAAGTTTCTCTAAAGGAAACCAGGACATCCTCAAACAGGGATTTTCAAGTGAAAAGCACTGTGAATTATTCCTTTTCATAAATTTATTTCAAACTCCTAGCTTAAGAAGGGTATAATGTAATCTTGTGCCTGTGATTATATACCCTTGCTAGGCACTTTTCTTCAACTTCTATTCAACTTGGAGTGAAGAGATATGTATTCAAATCTGTGTGATGAAATACTACTGTGCTGTAAGAAATGATGAGCAGGTTGATTTTAGAAAAAACATGGAAAAACTTGCATGAGATAACCATGAATGAAATAAGTAGAACCACAAGAATGTTGTGTACAGTTAACAGCAATATTGTTTGAAGAATAATTGTGAACAACTAAGTTATTTGGAGTATTATAAATATTCAAATCAACTACAAAAGACTTACGAAGGAAGATGTTATCCATCTCCAGAGAAAGAACTAATACACAAAGGTGTGCATAGTACAGTTTTATATATATATATATATATATAAAATTTACATATACATGCATATGTAAATGTATATCCATCTATCTATCTATCTATGTCAAATAGTAGCCTTCTCTAGTGCAGGGGAGGGAGGGAGGAAGGGAGGGAAAGAGACAGTTTGGAATTTTAAATGTAACAAAAAATTAATTTGAATTTAAAAAAATAACAAATCCTGGTTCTGATACTTCATAAGCCAGGTGATTTTGAAAAAGTCTCTCTGAGGTTCAATGTCATCATGTGCATAATTGGGAAGAATGATACGTGTCATGCCATCATTGGGAGGGACCTTTGAGATCTGGTCCAACTATTTCATTTTATAGATGAGGAAATTGAGAGATAGAATGGTTTGCTCCAGGTCACATAACATAAGAATCAGGATCAGAATCTCGGTCTCCTGATTCCAAGTCCATTCATTTCCACTATGCCACATTGTCTTCTAAGAAACTACTACCTACCTCCAAAGGAAGTACTTTGTGAACCTTAAAGCATTATAGAAACATGACTACTTTTCTTTCTTTCTTTTTTTTTTTTAACACATCCTGTATATCATCAAGAAACTAAGATTAGCAATAACATCACATTCATTCTTTGGATTGGCTTAATGTTTAGTCCTAGCCTATCTATGGCTAGGAACACCTTCTGATGTGGTATTAGACACGCTTAACCATGACAAGGAAATGGGATTTTGTAGACACAGGATCAATAATAGGTGTGAAATAACTCTAGAGCCAGCCCCTACTGGGGAAGGGCCCAAAGCTAGTTAAAGAAACAACTCCTATAGTTTCAATCTGTGAAGGAGCCAATGCTATGATTTTTAACTCTTTACATGCAGGACAAAATTTGCCAGGCATGAATTTAAGAAGGTTTCAGATACCCTATTCCCAACTCTTTTCTTATCACAGTCATCTATTGAGTGAGTGTCTCCAATCACGGGGGAGAGGGTGAAGTTAGCTTCTTGACACAACAGCTTCTGGAATGCTAGACATAAAGCCCCTAGCTACCCTTTTAGCCATCCTGGGAACATATTAGAGAGTCACATATGAGATGCCTTGAGAGCAAATATTCACATTAGCCTCATTCAAAGCCCTCAAGAAGAGTTCTCTCTTCTTATGTGTCTGTGAATCTACATATGCACTATCTCACCAACACACAAACCTAGTGAGCCCCTACCCCACTCCCCATCTCCTTAGTATTCTATGGAGAGCTCGTTTTCTAGTCTTTCCCTAAGGGGCAGGTGCTACCTGAGGTCTGAACTGCTCCTCCTTCTGTAGACTATACAGTCTGTGTCTCCAGGATACCTTGTCAAGTCCTTTTGGTTTCAGGGACAACTGGAAGTAGTGAAAAGACTGGTGGACCAGGGAGCCTGATTTCAAATCCAAGATCTGCTTCATATAACAGTGTGACCATGGGTAAGTCATTAACAAAACCTCCATCTCCTTATCTGAAAAATGAGGTATCAAGAGAGAAGGGAAGATGGTGGAGTACAGGCAGAAACCCAGCTGAATTCTCCCAACATTTCTCTACAAACAACTCTAAAATAGCTCCTCGAATCAAATTTTGGAGCGGAAGAGTCAACAAAATGTCAAAATGAGACATTTTTCTAGCCCAAGACAACTTAGGAGTTTGGCAGGAGAGGTCTGTGACACTGGGGTGGAAGCCAGTCAGACATACACACATGGAGGCAGCACTAGCTTGAGGCCTTAGAGACAACAGTAGCAGCTTCAGGAGCTCTCATCCCAGAGATGGTAAGGGGGTCAGATAACTGGTCAGAAAGAAATTACAGGCAACCCATTCCTGGCACTGGGTGCAGTTGGTGTTGATTGGCAACTATATTGGAGTAAGCAGTTCTGGGTTGTGGTAACAGAGTGCAGAGGAGCAGTAGCACTTGTGGCTGCAGGAAAGTAGGGGATCTGGTCACACCAGGACCAAGAAGAACACTAGTGCTTTACCCTTCTTGCGTAAAGACTAGAGTGCAGACCAAAAGGGCAGTGATCACACCTTTTCCCAGATCACACCATCTTGGAAGCACCAAAAACTTACAGAATCCCAGAACTAGCTCTGAAACCAGCAGCATGAAAAAGCCTGAAGTTTGGTATAGTGCCTCCCCACTCCCTGGTGAGCAGACCCCAACTTTAACACAAAGTTCAAAGTCAGGAAATAGGCTGGAAAAACCAGCAAACAAAAAAGAGCTTGCCCATAAAAAGCTGCTATGCTGTCAGGGAAGACCAAGACACAAACTCAGAAGAAGACAACAACATGAAACCAGCTACAACCCAAGCCCAACAAGAATTCCTGGAAGTATTAGAAAAAGTGATAAGAATAATAG